CACAAATGAACAATGATTTTGGAGCGTGAATGCAATCGGCAAGCTAACGTTAGGCTATAAACAAACTACACCACTGTTGGCTGTAAAGGCGGACTGATGAGGTTTTGTAGTCTCACCTTATTGTATCTTATTTAGCCGCTCGTTAGCAGCCGCCTTTTTTTTAAGACACTTAAAATCTTCAAAATTCACGAGAGGGGCATTCACTGACGTATTGTATGTCGTGGATAAAAATGTCAAAATCTTTTAAGCTTGTGTTAAACACAGACCTTATTTCAGGCATCGAACCAAAACAACATTTAACATTCATGACTTAAAGACAATGGAACCGGAAGTGAAAGAAATGGCACTCATTCCTGCAGCACTCTATGGTTGAAATGTTGGGGAATCACTCTTTTTGATTTTCATGTCTAAAAGGAAGATGGTACTGTAAGATTGATACCGCTCTTCGAATTCTCAGTAACAAAGGGAATAAACGTAATTCCAAAAATGTCAAACATTTCCTTTAGGGTATTCGTACAACTCCAATTGTGCACGTCTGTGTTTGCTATAGGGGTGTTTATACAGTTAGCACTAACCGCACACTTTCTCATCCCCATGCATCCTCTATCACACATTGTACACACACATGTTTTTCTGCACAGAGAATTGCTGGTGTAAAGAACCAGTCGAGGGATGCTCAGTGGCATTAGTACGATGTTCCCGCAGTCACTCACGTTGTGGGCAAAACGAGCGCTCCACGTTCAGCTGAAACATTAACATCACAATGCACTTTGTGCCAGAGGATTGAAAAAACAACCAATCAGTGCTATACAAACCAGAACGTGTGGGTGTTTTTGTGAACACACATAAAAGAGGTGATTTTTGCAGCAGTAACACACGTTTTCTCATATATGCCTCACTTTAGGAAGCACAGCAGCTTTTTCAGACAATTACTATTCAAGTATTTCTAAAGAGCACGTGTTCCTATAGGCCTGTACACCTCTCTAAAGGGACTATGCATACAGGTCAAACACAATAACGAATAAGGCGACTGTGTGAACTCTCACTTCCCTCTCCTAAAAGACACAACTGTATTCTCCTTTCCTTATTTTATACAAACACAGATATACCCCCTCCTCTTTTGTCACAGGTCTGCTCTCTGGGTTCCTTTTGACAAATCACCACATTAAACGTGGCCATTTTCAGGCGCACCCAACTTCCCTCTGCTTATTGGTTTCAGATAAAACTGCAATATTTCCATTCATCTATTTCCGTTTGTCGATGAGTGCACGTACCACACACAGACACACACACACACACACACACACACACACACACACAGAAACGTGCACGCAGACACTCCTTTGTCTCCTTGGTCGTTAATAATGTACTGATGGCAATACTGTGGTTACTGACCCATAGCCAACCCATTAATCAAACAGTACAACTAGCATATGATCATAATAAATATGCTCCAGATGAATGTCTTGCAGTCAGGAGAACACACTGAGACCAGAAGGACAAACGTGATAGAAAATAGATAAGACTAAGCTGAGGTAATTACATAAAGCGACACATTCCTCCTGTGAAAATCTGCTTTGATAAGAGCAGCACACTTACACTCAGACAAGCATGTCATCCATATCAAGTCCCACAAGCAAGTCCTGTGTCGTCTGTTCTACATGCATATTTTCATTCAAACATATCTGTTTCCTAATTGGCTGTATAGATAGTGTCCACTCATTAAGAAGGGATTGATTGGCCTATTTTTGATGCTGAAGTGACCATCACAAGAGACTCACTGCCAGTTAGAGAGCCGTCTGTAACAGGGGCTCTATAGGAGCGTGGAGGAATATTACAGTGGTGTTGTTCTGACCTCTAGTGGCGGAGTACAAAGCAGTAGAACTACAGTACAAAGCAGTAGAACTGCACGTCTCCTCTGATTAAAAGCCACTTCACTGCAGCCGTTAATTTTAGAATTTACAGGCTTTATTTTTGAGTTTTCTCAGTTTTGCATTTTGATAATCACACACCTTGATTGGGGGTATGTTTCTCCTGTGTACCTTATTTGTCTGTTTCGTTGGGGTTTGCTTTGTGATTGGTAATTCGTATGTGGATCAAAGAGTGTAAGCAGCAGAAGTATTAGATTGTTGTGGTGTTCCTTGTTTACATTCTGCGTCGTAGGGCAAAATGGTCCAGGATGGCATGTTGCTCTGGTAACAGTAACAGGACGTGGGAATAATGAGCTGTGTCGTTAGTGTCGTTATGGCGGTGGCTTGACCAAGCAGGTAATGAAATCGTTGGTCATATGTTAGTGGAGGTGTTGTTCTTGTAAATATGAACATTTGAAGTGTATACTGCTCACTGTCTTACAAGATGCTGATTGGTTGGTGTTGATGAATGACCTCAATGTTTCTTTCAGGTATCAACTCTTGTCTCTTAATGCAAAGTACATGCGTTATTATTTTACTACACATTTTATTCATATTTTCTGTGTTAATATTGTGTATTTGGGGGCATTTATGTTTTGCACTCTTTTAGAGAAACATGCTATTAAAACACAATTTCATTCAATTTGATTTAGAATGACGGATCTATGGAGATGGACATAGACAAGAAACTTGAGATTAAGACGGAGTAAATAACATAAGAACATTGTGATGAATTATCTTACAGAATAAAATGTAGTGGGGCCATGTTTGATCACCCAGCAGTGACATCATAGTTTCCCAGCATACCCTCTCCACATACACACAATATGTGAATCAGTTACAGCCCTCACAAAGGGATTAAACACAAGCTAAACAAGTTCCATGAGGTGACATATTGGCAAAGTGACACACTGACATGTTTGGTACTAAGGCATATTGGTACAATGTCAACATAATTGACTATTGACACATAGCATTGCCATTAAGACACAATGACATATTCATTAAATGATGAAGTAAAGAGGCGTATTGGCAGACTGAGGAAACGAGAGAAAAAGTGGCAACAACTGAGTGTAGTGACAGTTAGGGGGAATATAGTCCTTGAACAAACTTTTAAAAAAAGAAGCAGAATCCTCATTATACTGGTGACGGAAGAAAATCTGTAATGCTCGTCTTCCCACTGTGGGGGTATGAGGGGAATGTTGAAGATGCTTGTCAAACTCTGTTAAACAGCTTCCGGCCCTCCAGTGAACTCCAGGTTCATCTCTAACGAATTCTGCATCCTCAAGCACACAGCATTGAATGTGGCAACATGACGCTGACCATTGCAGGCTTGTAGAACACGCACACCCTCGTCTGCGTGCCTCTTTGTCGCTGTTGGGACATTCCAGCTCGTTGTCCATGTGGACCCCTCAGATCAAATACTGACCCTTCTTGTGTTGAACATTTACAGCATGAGACAAGTTGAGTTAAGGGGTGCATGGTCTCCACATCCACCCTTACACTCCTCTTGCTCTCTTGCCTATTGTGGACATCACTGGAGATGACTGAAGCGGAGTCTGATGTGACACATATACACTTATCCATGGCCTTTTTGCATCACATGTCATATGTAATCACCAATCACAGATGCTCCAAAAGGACACTGAAGGTCTTGAAGATTACATTTATTAGAAAATAAACAAAAGGCATATTCCTTTTGTGTGCGTGGATTATTGCTGCCGCCTCTTCTATAAATAGCATTATCTGTCAGTAATGCCTTATGCTCATTCCATTTTATTTGGATTTGCATCCCTTTCCATCCCATTTTCTTTTCATAGTTTATTCATCAAAAAAACTCATTCTCTACTGATGATCATTTGCTGTAGTTGCCCTTTTGCCAATAACAGATAGGAGCAGCTCTAAGATAACTACAATACAAAGTTTTCTTTTGGACCTCCGCACTCCTGAAAGAGTCACATCTGGGCTCCAGATGTTCTGTGACCTCTGAACTCTTGTTTCACACACAGTCCTTGAAAAGGCTATAAGTTCATTTGCATTGATGTACTGTATGACCTATACGATAGACTCTTGGTAGACTCATCTTTATTGATTTCTGTAAATTCAATTAAAACAATTAAATAAGAGAGTGACAACAGGACACCATCTGTGATACAGTACAACTAACATGGTAGATGGTGTGTGCAGCTGGGCAGCAGTATAAGGGGATGAACAACAGTGTTTACAAGTGTTTAAATCTGTTCTGCTCATATGTTCGAAGGTTTAGATAGCCGTATCACATTAACACATTTTCAGGTCATATCATACCTACTATAAATACAATTTCACATTAACCCTCTGTAGCATAGTGATGAGTACATGCAGGATATGTAGGATTTTGTGTTGACATCATCAGTGGAAGCAGTTGATATATGTCTAGTTATATACAGTACAGTCCTTAAGTTTGAAAAGCTGATTCATTTTTTAATTTGTAGGAGGAACAGCGCCCTTACTTACAGGACATGCAAGAAGAAAAAGGTCCTCATGAACAGACCGTCCAGGTGGGTTAGTTGAACATCTCATGAAAGATCTGTGTTGAGAATGTTGAGCTGAGATATAAAATCTACTCTAATACTATATTTTGTTACTTTTTTCTTTATGAGAATATATCAGAGGTTTTTTTTCAGCGCTCTTTCTTGTAAAGATGCAAATACAACATTATTTATCATTAAGCATCTCCATCAATTCAATTAGATGTGGTTTTAAGAGGTGTTAGAGGATTGCTAATATTATAAATGTATATTGCACCTCTGATACAGTGATATCAATGAGATATAAACAGGAAATAGATTTTATATACAGTTACTAGTCATTCATTTATTTGGTCTTCACTGGCTTCATTTAAATTTACATTTGAGTGGAATCAGTCTGACGTTATAATCAAAATAAACTGTTTTTGTTTTGAAATCAAAGGAAGCACTACTGTCTCCTATTTTGTGACATCTCGGCTCCTTTCTGCTGTCTGGTGCGGTTGCTGAGCAACAAGCGGTGGGCGGGGACAGTGAACACAGTGTCGGGTGGACGAGTTGTTGGGGGCGGAGCTTAATTTAACACCGGCAACAGGAGGGGCCTCGCGGGGCTGGACTTCTCAGACGCCCCGGTAGAGATTGAAACGCAGCTGCACCCCCTGAGTATTAGTTGCAGACTTTAATATCAGCCCCCAGCTCACCGGGTGGTTTTTCACTGCGAGTCGGTACACGGTTGGCGAAAATGTCTAACGGTAACTGGAAGCCCTTTGTTTTCGGCGGACTCGCTTCAATGACGGCAGAATGCGGTGAGTGATGACTAGAGTAGGAGGCGGGGGGGTCGAGCTACGTGGAATAACGTCAATTATTTACATTTCTGTTGTGAGTTACAGTCTTGCACGACAGTATATCGTGCTTTGTGTTGCAGGGACCTTCCCAATCGACCTAGCCAAGACGCGTCTTCAAATTCAAGGCCAGGTAGGCAGCAAATACCGAGAGATCCGGTACAGAGGCATGCTCCACGCTATGTCGAGGATAGGAAGAGAGGAGGGACTCCGCGCGCTGTATTCAGGGTCAGTATGGTGGATCAATGCGTTGTAGTGTCTATATCTTTGTCATCAAAACCTTGTTTCAACTACACAGGTGCTGGACCTATTTTTTGTTTATAATACTACTGTGCGTAGTATTTCTTCTAAGTGTTTGCATTTCCTCATTTTTGTGCACTTCCTGTTTTTTGTAAAAAAAAAAGCCATTTCCTCACCAATCTGTTTGCATCCCCATCTATTCATCTCAGAGTTTCGTTTTTCTTTGTGTGTTGAGACTTTTGGGGGATTTTTCCTTTGCCTTTTTTAAAAGGCTTTCGCTGGGTTAGGTACCAGAGTTGTGGGTATTTTTAAAGCCTAATAAGATGTTGTTGTACTGGGAATAAAAATATTAACTTGACTTGAATTGGCTTTTACAGAATAGCTCCCGCTATACTGCGACAGGCCTCCTATGGGACCATCAAAATTGGCACATACCAGAGCTTGAAGCGGCTGCTGGTTGACAGACCAGAGGGTGAGTCCCAGTTTCTCTCTCTCACACACACATTTTCGACCTGCCCCCATCGACACATGCACACATTCCTCTTGAATTGTCAGACGTGTGTGTCTGTGTGTGGCCTAGTTAAATATGTCTCGTCATTTCTTTGTGCTAAGTGTAACAGTTAGTGTGCTTCTACAAAACACTGCAAGGACAAACTGCGACTGACTGCCTGATGCATTGTATCAAATGCTGCTTGTTTACAGTTCCAGCCTGCCTCCCCCTCTTCTCCTTTTTCAGATGAGACATTGCTGACTAATGTGATGTGTGGTGTTCTCTCTGGAGTCATCTCGTCCTCCATCGCCAACCCCACTGATGTGCTGAAGGTAGCTATTCGCATACCCAAATCTCGTTTTGTACTATTCTTGTTGTGTCAAGAGGTTCTCTAAGCCGCAGAGCAGGTTTGGCAGTTCTTTGAACCTGTTGTTTATACATACAGCAGTAATGCCTCGTGCAGCCTTGAGTAGGACTGTAGTTCGGTAATTGCTTTTGAAAAACAGAGATTCCCTTTCTAGGTGAGCTCCTAACCCCGGCAGGCTGTAGGTGGGGTCATTTGGTAGCACGCCGAGTGGAGCGAGGGCCATCTTAGTGCTATCAACACCCCACTTGTGGATTATTTATAGAAGGAAGCCTCTACGGCTTAACATGGTGTTCTGTAAACGATATGGGTGCATGACTATGTGTGTGTGTGTGTGTGCGCGCGCATGCTCATCTGTACTCATGATGTTTTTGCCCGGCTTCTCCTCGGCATGCAATTACCTCCCGTCCACGTTGCTTGCTTGTTTGTTTGTTGGGGCTTAACAGATTAATGGAAGCGGTTGCAGGGTTGGGAACGTTGCGAGTCATCATGGAGCCGGACAAACACACTAAACTATAATGAACTAAACAGCAGAATGAATGACTCCTGGAATTGAGGAGAGAGGGAGAAAACACTTAAGGACAGCATGCTTGCCAAAACTGCCTCTAACTTCTTTGGCTTTGCATACCAATGGCAGCCAGATAAATACACCCCCGCACTTGTCTTGGCAAACCTGCAGCATTTTGCACTGATTGTGAATACTTTCATTCTCTCAAGTTCTGCCTGTGTGTCTGTTGTTCCAGATCCGCATGCAGGCTCAGGGAAATGTGATCCAGGGCAGTATGATGGGCAACTTCATCAACATCTACCAGCAGGAGGGAACAAGAGGACTGTGGAAGGTACAGCACGCCTGGAGAAAAAAAAGTGTTTCCATGGGTTACAGGAAGCACAGACACTGCTCTTAAATGCTCATATCCTCAGTCCTGTAACACTCCCGTTCCTTCTACTTCAGGGCGTCTCACTGACTGCTCAGCGGGCAGCCATCGTGGTCGGGGTGGAGCTACCGGTCTATGACATCACCAAGAAGCACCTGATCCTGTCTGGTCACATGGGGGACAACGTGTACACCCACTTTGTGTAAGTTGGCAGAGTCAACTGGAGATCCTCCTCCTGTCTCTCATGAGATGTTTTCACTGGGAGGAATCAGGAAAAGACACATTCCAACATCCCTGTTCAATCTGTATGTGTTGACCATCGGCACTGTGAATTCAAGCCTTTCAAAACACTCGGTGTGTATCAAGTTACAGTCTCAGCCTTGCAGGATATAACGTTTGTTACGTTAGTGTCAACAGCACACACACACATCACAGCAATGACTGATTAGCACTAAATATTGAATGAAGGTACAAAATGAAAGCACTCACAGATAATCCTTCAAACCTGCGTCTTGTCGTCCCACAGGTCCAGCTTTGCGTGTGGTCTGGCGGGGGCTTTGGCCTCTAACCCAGTGGACGTGGTCCGGACACGCATGATGAACCAGAAAGGAGTCTCTCTGTACCAGGGAACACTGGACTGCATACTGCAGGTCAGTCGGGTTGCACTTGTTCCTGATCAGATTGTGTTCGCAGAGGAATACATTTCCACAAATTTGATTCCTCAAATACAAATATGTCGACTTGTTATGGGCAGCACGGTTCAGCCTGTTGTACAATGTCTTCTGTGGCTCTGCAGGGAGCTTCTGAGGAAAAAGATTTGCGATTGCCAGACAGGGACAAAAAAAAAAGAAGATACTATTGGTTGCATTCTGGGAAATGTAGGATCCAGTGTTTTGAAGCTTGGCCCACACTAGGGACTAAAAGTCTGGATATCTCTCCCTGTGCTGCTTTCAGTTTGTTTTATTGGTTTCTTGTCACTCCTACACCTTAAAGCCTTCATGACTTTCATGTGTGAATGACAAACGTTTGACATTTAAAGTTATTCGATTGTTAGTCTTCTAGCCTCCCGAAGGAATATTAAATATAATGTGGTAATGTTGAATATCTAGATCAGACCTTAATATGACTGATTTCATAACCCCAAAGAGGATGTAAGAACGATTATCAGAGGATAACGACATAAAGTGTGTTTTTAACATGTTTGTTTTCTCTTCAGACGTGGCGCTCCGAGGGCTTCATGGCCCTCTACAAGGGTTTCTTTCCCAACTGGCTCCGCCTGGGACCGTGGAACATCATTGTATCCTTTAACCATCTCATTAGCGCGCTGCTCTGTTTACATATATCCTGCATGACTCAATATCTTTTGAGCTGGAGAAATCAGCGGGGGAAAAAAAGTTGTGACGCGTGGCATCACAAGCCATGCTTTCCAGTGGATTAAAGCTTAGCCTTAATGCTAGCTAAACTCTTTTATATACGTTTGTGTAACTACTGCCTCAGTGCTCCGCTGCCTCTGGTTAGAGAGGACCTAGGGTGCCCCTCAATAAGAGGAATCAGGGTAAGGGGAAGAAAGGAGGGGGGGGGGGCACAGTGGAGGGTGAACTCTATTTAAGTCTGTCTGGAAAGGCCAAAGAGTTACAGGGGAAAGTCCTGTCAGGTCGTCATCGTGCTCCAACCAGGCCTGAAAAATGTAATGAGATTATTGACTTGTTACAGCCCAGTAGTCTGAGGTAACAAGGGAGGGTTTGAGCTGAAGTACAGAAGGAGCCAAATTTCCTCAGTGAGCCTCCCACGCTCAGCAACAATGTTCACTTTTTTTCTCTCGCCTATGGCCCTTCACTCTCAATCCAGTTCTTCCTCACATACGAACAGCTGAAGAAGATCAACGTGTGACTGACGGAACGAGACGGCGGAAAAAAGAGAAGAGTACTTGGTCACGCTCGGGGACGAGCTGAGAGGTCCAAAACCTGGAATGGCTGGAGGGTGATGGATCCTAGATGGAACCACCGAACAAGGGGGAAGAGGGGTTGATGAAGACCTGTGTATGAGGGGCGGCGTGCCTTTAAGTTTGACACCGGTCGCCTGAGTTTGCATAAGGACCGAGAATGTCGGATAGCAGCTGACAATCATTCCCTTTTGAAAAGCAAAATGTTTGTGTGTGCGAGTCAACACACTTGGATCAGGACGTGGTGTTTCTTTAAACAATTTTCTATATTTAGTTGGATTCATGGCAATTTTTCTTTTTTATTCGAAGAGTCTCCCTGGAATACTTGCAGAGTTCAGAGCCAAGAATACATCAGTGTACTGTAATACATAACAGTCATATAAACAGCCTGAAGACCCGTGTGTGGGTCCTCAGACTGGAGACACACACACACACACACACACACATACATCCCATGACCATATGTGGCGAGACTAGTTGTCCGTCACGCCAGCGAGTCCAGACAGTAACTATAACTGGGGGAGGACTCCCTGGGTTCTTGTTATTATATGTGTTGCAGTAACATGAAACACAGCCATTATGTAAGTCTTCATACGATATCCCACGTCGCTGTACGACCACTGAGACACGTCAATGTATCCAACGGGCATCATTTGACGACGTTTGTTGCCAAAAAGCACCTAAACCACTGCACATGATCCACATTTAACTCCAGGTATATTTTCATATTGTGCTTTTACGCGCTGTGTGCTTATCTGTGAGCTTTTGTCGTAAAGGATGAATGCATTGCTGGCTGTCTTGCGTGAGCTGCCATTGCTGCCGATGTGTAGGTTTACTTTAGGCGTCAAGCCTGCTGTTGCTCTGTATATTTGAAATAAAAGAGAAAAACTCAGTATGTCAGTGTTTTGCTTTGTTTTCACCACAGTGTGGCGCTGTGGAGCTTTGCACTGGCCCGCCACAACTCAACTCCCTTGAAACCAAAAGCTGTTTATCAGACTTCTTAAATTCCCAACCCCTCAACTTTGAGGCCACAAATCTAGAACAGTCGAGTTGTTTAAGGGAATGCCCAGTGTCTTCCTAACACACGCGTTCATGTAGCATCCCGCAAACAGCGACTTGTGAATTATTCAGGGGAATCAAAGATGTAATTGTTTTATTTCTGCAGGTAAATTCCCAGTTTTCTTCCCATCAGAGCTGTTTTTGAGGAGATGACGGGAGCTCGGGGGAGTGCAGTCTGAAATGTTGCAGTGAACCTGCAGTCTCTCTCTCTCTCTCTCTGTGTGTGTGTGTGTGCGTGTGCGTGCGCGCGCACGCACGCCATGTTTTTTATTTAGGGAGCATTCCCATGAGACTTATTACTTGTGCGAGAGCTGTTATTATTGTATCTGCCTCATCTAAGCCCCCATGTGCTACACTGCCACGTTAGTGTTGGTGTGACAAGCATGGCTGCGTTGAGTAACTCTGTTCTAAACAAGGCCACGGAGCGTGATGGAGGAGACGAGGGTCTGTGTGCTGGTTTAAACACTTGTGTACAGTATATTCACTAAGGACCTGAAGGGCACGGACCAGCTATGCCAATTCCAGGGACAAAAAACGCCTCTTGCTGTCCATAAGGCGAGCTGAATGAGAGAATAAGAATAATGGGTGGCGTGTGCCAGGATATGGCATCTATAAGTTGGCATTACAGGCTCCTGCCTGGCATCAGGTCTCTGGCACAGTCCTCTACAAGCTGGGCAAGAATGGCCACGGGGGATTCCGGCAGTAACAGACATGCTGCATTATGGGCATTATTCGCTGCCTGGCCCAAGGGTGCAGGGGGGGGGCTGGCTCCATTGTGTTCCAGGGATCAGAGTGAGCTTTTGTGTCAGAGGAATAAGGCTCTGCTCTGCTCCGCTCCAAACACACTGCCCTTTTTCCCTCCTTCTTGTTTTGCTCTCCTCAGATGAGAACGCTGCTCGCCGTAACACACGGGTGAATAAATGGACGGATGAATGGCCGAGCACGTGGAAGTGCAGACGACACAAATCTATCGTAGTCTGTTGATCCATTTTGGAACACAGAGCGTGTTGCTTCTGGGCTGACAAAGAAACACAATAAATCACAGGCCTATTGCTGTTTCTTTTTGCTCAATATTGCAGACTGAGATACGGGCTGGGCTACAACAGAACCGTTTTTTTCTCTCTCAGCCTTTGAAAGATGTGCAGCCTGGGTGCTTAGTTTGAATGATTTTCCCTTGGGAAAATACATTGTTTACAGGCCACAGATTCTGCATAACATCAAGATACCTTGCGTTAGGAAGCTGTCGGAAACATCGTTCTCCCGGAGAGAAAAAAGTGCAGCCTTCTGCAATTTGAAATTGTGCCTGTAGAGAACATTGTGATAAATTGTACAGCTACGCTCTGGTCTGTGAAAAACACGCTGACAAAGTGAGGATTTCAAACAAGGGGAGGCAATAGATCCTGCAAAAATATCAAATGATGCTTTCGGAACTCTTTTCCCTGGAAAAACAGATGTAATTCTTTAGTAGATCTTAGAAAGAGACAAATATGACAGTAAGACCCTGCAGGAATATTAAGGAATAGTGTATGGATGGCTAGAAGATAATAAACAAGCATGAAGTATGGGGAGACCAATATTAAAGAAACACGATATATCATCTTAATTAGTGAGCTTTAAAAGGTTCTGGTAGGTTGTTTTTTTTCTTCTAATTATTAGAGAGTACCAGGCTAGCTGTCCCCATGTTTCCAGTCTTAATGCTAAGCTAAGCTAACCATCCGCCAGCCGTAGCTTAGCATACAGACATGAGAGTGGTATCAATCTCCTCATCTAGCTCAAACTCCATCTAGGTCAAATATTCCTGTCCCTGTTGAGAAACCACAGAGACACAAATGTTAAGTGTCCATCCAAATGTAGCACACATTTGAACCGAATTTCACCAGCAAAATAAAATGCACATTTTAATTTCCGGTGTTTACCAACTGCAAATGTGCATGAAGACAGTTGGATAAGAACACACTTCATGAGCCCCCATTACAATTTGAGAAAGGTGCCTGCAGTTCTTGTCTGTTAGAACAAAAAAGTAGAACTCCTCATCCAAACAAACCACAGGCCCGCCAAATCACAGCGCAGTCGACCTACATTTACACACCACTGGAAGGGGACCGGGACCCCAGGGAGACAGGATCACAAGGATGAGCCGCTGGTAATGCGGCTACATTGTTCCATTAAGACGGGAACAGGCCAACAGAGTGAATGTTAAAGGAGATAAAGGGAGGGGAGATTTGTTCCACGCGTTGGCTTCTTTGACTCTGTGACTCCAAGAGTCAGGGAAAGTTAAGTTGTGTCAAAGCTGAAGGAACTATAATGTTCCTGTGACATCTGTATAGTTTAAGTGACCTTTTAGTGCTTTTTGGTGCTTATGCTTATTTCCTTAGTCAAATAAAATACGTTAATATCTTGACTGGAGTTAGATGAGTAGATTGACACCACTCTCATGTCTGTTCGTTGAGCTGCAGCAAGGCAACGGTTAGCTTAGCTTAGCTTAAAGACTGGAAACAGCTAACCAGGCTCTGTTCAAGGCTTATAAAAAACCCACAACCCGGCACCTTTAAAGCTCCTTAACTTAAACATTACACCTTGTTTAATCTGTACAAAAACTAAAAACGACAAGTTGTGGTTTTACTAAACTAAGCTGAGTTTAGCTAACCGTAGCCTGGCTGTAGCTTCATGTTCAACTGATATCAGACACGAGAGTGGTGTCATTCCTCTGATCTATGCATAAGCATATAAGCATGTCATTTTACACTTATGGGGATTCATAGTGAGTCTCTGGTGGTTAGCAGTAATGTCAGCGTATTTTGTGGTGTTTTTTTTTATTTCTGTAACACAGTAGCAATATTTCCATAGATCTTTCTAAAAAAATAAAATAAAATTCGTACAGCAGGTTTTTCTTTCTTGTATTTGGGTTATCCTCCTTATTTCTGGAGACTGTATCCAAAAAGTTAGAAAGTTAGAAAAAAACAAAACGCTAGACTGCAGATGAGCAGGGAATACTGCCGTCATAACATCACATCACCAATTCCTTGTTCGACGTGTTCAATCTTATGTAATTCCAGAGGATAAACACTAGGCAGAGCTCATGTGCTTTCTGCTAAGACATCAAAACAGAGGAGTAAGCCCACCGTCTGTCTGCCTGTCACCACCGGCCAGACTCTCTCTCTCTCTCTCCCCATAACCCGCTCAGTCACAGCTACCCTCATTAATATCCCAGCTTCTGATAAGGAATAAATATTCAAATATTCAGCGGTATCATTTTCCTTGGACGCCTGATTTTAAATTCCCTGCCCTCAGGCACAGCATGCCTTATCCACACAAACACATGTGCACACAGGGGCCTCTGATGTGTGGTGGTGGCGTTATGCTCACTGACACCAGAGCTGCTGTTCTCCACTTCTATTTATTTATTATTATTTACAGTGGGAGAGACTGAGGTGGGCAGTAAGGATAAAAATGAACAGATGGAGTCAACAGGGAGACGTGGAGAAAACTTTAGTGGAACTGGAAGCTGGGGTTGAGTGCCTGAAGAAAGAGAATAGATGATGAGGAGAAGAGAAGGGATCAGTGGGAGAGAGGAGAGGATGCAACACATGTCCCGACTCTCTGCTGCGCTCCAATTAGCATCCATATGAGGCCTCTACAATAGTGGTTGTCAACCGCTGTGCTAAGGACTCGAGACAAAGGGTTATTGGCTCAGACAATTTTTTGACTTTCTATTGTTACCAGTCCTTAAAGGTAACAATAGAGAGAGCAATATTTACCCTCAGTGACTCAAACTAAAACCGCATTCTGACTCTCAAGCAGATCCTAACAGTGAAATACAAATATGTTTCTATATTAAGATGGTGCGTTTGGCTTATATGTTGGCGCATTAAGCTCTAAACTAATGATACGGTATTAAGCAAGATGGCATGAGAAGGAAAGAGGAAGTCCACCAAGTTTACTTGTTATGGTAAGTTTACCTGAGGAGGACAACTCAGGCTATGAGAACATTTGAACTCTGCTAAAGCAGCTTTGTCAAGTCTGAGAAAGAAAGCCCAATAATGTAGCAGTGATGTCATCAGGGTGAGACAAATCTATCACAGTGGCCCAATTCCAATCCGAGCCCTACACCCTCCCACTCCCTGACAGAGTGAACTTCATTTGTAGTCCCACTCACAGCAGAATGAAGCACCCCTCTAAGGTTTAGTGCATAAATACAGCGGCAAGCTTTGGGACAAACTTCACTCTCACCGGCAAGGATGTTATAAATATATATCAGAATCAGAAATACTTTATTGATTCCCAGAGAGAAATTGGATTACATTACTGCTCCCATTCGAGAATAGAAAAATATAACATGGAGAAATTATTTGAAAGAATACATAAAAGATAATTAAGTATGTAGAAATATGTAAATGATGTTTACTACAATATACAACAGTGCAAATAATAATGCTGAAAAATGAGGTATCTGATTAAGTGTGTAAAAATGCAAAAATAGAATAGTATAAATAAATATAAAGATAGAATTGTATAGATAAATAAGAATATTAGTTTAAATACAGTTTAAATAAATGCAGCGTTAATGCCAGAATGAACCAGGGTATCGCACGGCTGAAGGTTATTGTACTGTGAAGTCAGTATTGCAAGGTTACAAGGTTATTTAACAGGGTGGTGCAACTATATTTAGTTTGCAGTCCCATTTTTCTACATATGAAAAACACACAAAAAACAGATGATATGGTGCAGAGTGGAAGATAAATGTCGGGCTCTCACAACCTGAGGAAAGAAGCTGCTCTGAAGTCTGGTGGTACGGCAGTTGATACTTCTGCAACGGGGCTGATAGGGGTATAA